TGGACGTACGCCGAGAAGGGTCCGAGAAGGGTCCGAGGAGGGTCCGAGGAGGGTCCGAGGAGGGTCCGAGAGGGGTCCGAGGAGGGTCCGAGAAGGGTCCGAGAGGGGTCCGAGGAGGGTCCGAGAAGGGTCCGAGAGGGTCCGAGAAGGGTCCGAGGAGGGTCCGAGAGGGTCCGAGAAGGGTCCGAGGAGGGTCCGAGGAGGGTCGGAGGAGGGGCAGCGGGGCAGCGGGGAGGGGCGTGGAGGGGGGAGGCGGGGAGGGGGGGGAGGCGGGGAGGGGGGGGAGGCGGGGAGGCGGGGAGGCAGGGGGGGGGGGGGGAGGCGGGGAGGAGGTAGGCATTCGCCTTCTGGTGCTCTCCTCCGAGCGCCGCTTGCGTCACCGCGTCGTGGAGCGCGCCTAGTGCCCAGGCTGGCTCAGTAGACCTAGTGGGTGTGTCACTTTCCACCGTACGGGTGTTGAATTGGCTAATGGGTGTTTTGGGGATGCTCGTGCTCGCAAGCGCGCCATCCTCCGCCGAGAGGCCAGCCGGTGCCCCGTCGTACCAGGTCGAGTCGAGGTCGGCGCTGCCCCGCCGGTAGCCGCCAGTGCCAGTGTACCTGCCCTCGCCGCCGCCCCGGCCGCCGCCGCCGCCGCCGCCGCCGCGCCCCCCCCGCCCGCCGCCCGCCGCCTCGCGCTCCGCCGACGCAAATAGGTCGTCAACCCAAGACGCCCCTCCTCCCCCTCCCCCTCCTCCTCCTCCCCCCCCTCCTCCTCCGCTGTCGGGCAGCGAGTCGAGCCCCTCGGCCCACTTCATCATGGCGGGGTCGCCGCCGCCGCCGCCTCCCTCCGGCGCGTCGAGCCCAACCCTCCCCATCCCCTCCAGCTCGCCCAGCACTGCGTCGAGATCGTCCGGCCCGTCCCACCCCGCGCCCGCGTCGAAGAAGAGGTCCGCCTCGGCGTCGGCGTCGAGCGCAGGCGGCGGCACGTCGAGCAGGTCGCCGAGGCCGAGCTCGCCGAGGTCGAGCTCGTCCGCCTCCTCGAACTCGAAGCCGCCCTCCCCGCCACCTGCCGTAGCAGGCGCCGCCTCAGCCTCGAGCAGCCGCGTCCGCAGCTCGTCGGCTTTGCCGCTCGCCGGCAGCCCCGCCTCCTGCGCGGCACAGGGCCGGTGAAGGTGCTGCTGTACATGCATCGAGAGAGAGAGAGATAGAGACGGCCACGCTGGTCTACTCGAGCGCACCTTGCAGGCCTGCTGGAGCTCTCGGTACGACATATCGCCCGCGGCCACGTCGAGCGTCACCGCGGCACGCGCGAGACCGATGGCCGGCGCGCGAGTCGGCGACCAGCCGATGGAGAGGAACGAGAGCATGTCGACGGGGAGAGGGCTGCTCGCTCGCAGACAGAGCGAGCTTCAGTTCGAAAGAAAAACGCGCTCCTGGTGCGTCGGCGCCAAAACAGTTGGAGCTGGCGGCGCGGCCGCGGCAGCCTTTGTGCGAGTTCTATCGATTCATCTTATTCTCAATCCTCCCACCACAGCATCACCCCAGCACTGACCACTGCCCCCGCCCGCCCTCGCCCGCTCGCCCTCTCCCGCCCGCCCTCGCCCGCCCGCCCTCGCCCGCCCGCCCCCGCCCCCGCACTTGCACTTGCACTGCACTCACCCTCGAGCTCCGTCCCTGCTGCCCTCATCTCAATCTCGGCTCATCTAAAGAGGCTTCGGCCAGCGGGCTTCGGCCAACGAGGCTTCGGCCAACGAGAGGCTTCGGCCAACGATATTATTACTGCTCCGCTCAGCGCCGCGAGTCACAGACAGACAGACAGACAGACAGAAAGCTCGGCCAAAGCCAGCGCAGGTGTTGTACATTTGCAGCATTCTCATTGTCTCACAAGCTGGGCCTACGGCTTTCTTGGATGAGTGCGGCGCTACAGCGGTCACTGCGGCCATTCGAAGAACTTCTGGAGCGCGGAGTTGACGATGGACTTTCCGTTACCATCGTGCGTGCCCTTCTCCGACGCCCTCCAGAAGTTGCACCTGCTGAGCCCCGACGCAGTGCCGTCGCCGGCCCGCCCCGGAGCCTTGAACAGGCCAGGGCGTGTGTGAGGGAGCTTTCGCATCTCCTGGATGCCCAACGCGCGGAACTCGTTGATGAAGTCAGGGAAGGTGCGCTTGATGAAGGCTGCAACCGTTCCGATTCCTGCGTCCTCCCCCTTAGCGATCTTCAGGAGCTTCACGAACTCGTAGCGGTACGTAGTGCCGAGCTTCCGCTCCAGTTCCTTGGTAGACATAGCGCACGCCTCTGTCACCCACTTCGGGCACTTAAGGCCCCCCTCCGCCCCCGCCGCCCCGGCGTTCTCCTTGTCGGCGTCAGGCGGGACCAGCAGCGACGCGCTCTCGGCCTGCGCCCCCGCTGCCTGCGTCGCGCCCACCAGCAGCAACGTGTCCTCGGCCGCCTCAGGCGACAGGTCGTCGTCGAGCGCCTTCTCCACGGCGTCGGCGGCAACCTCCGCCGCCTCGGCCGCCTCGTGGAGCCACGCCCTCCGGATCGCGCGCTGGATGCGGACGGCGGCCGCCCGGCGTGCCTTCGTGCGCTGCATGGCGAGCTTCCGCACGGCGGTCGCGCAGCGCACGTTCGACTGGATCGAGACGATCGCGGCCATGGCAGAGGCGAAGGAGGCGCGAGGAGCCGACGCGCGCCACGCCGCCTGCACGCGCGTGGCGGCTGCCGCATCGAGAGCAAGCGCACGCCGAAGGGCCTGGCCGCGAAACACCGCCTGAAGACGGCGCGAGCAGCGCTGGCGACGCAGCTCCGAAGCCGCGGCGGCGCGGCGCACCGCCGCCTGCACACGCACTGCGGCGAGGGGCTGTGCCGCCTCGAGCTGCCGCTCGAGACACTGCACCTTGGCGAGCGCGGCCTCGTGCTGCTGCATCTCCGCCGAAACCTCCTCGCGGATGCGCCGCTCGTCGCCTGATAAATTAATCAAAGAATAATCAATTAATTGATTAATCATTTAATTACTCGTGGATGCGCCGCTCGTCGCCAAGTCTCTCCGCCTCGACCTGCTGCAGCCGCTCCCGCAGCACCTTGAGCTCCGACTGCAGCGCCTGCTCTCTCGCGAGCTGCTCCGCCCTCGCTCGCTCCTCGTCGGCCAGGCGCGCCGCCTCCTCGGCAAAGAGCCGCTCGCCCCCCGGCTGGCGCGCCACCCGCGGCTTGGAGACGATCGTCCGCGCGCGCGAGACGGTGTAGAGCGTCGAGAGCGTCTCGACCGCATTCGGCTCGGCCGGCGAGGCGCAGGCGAGCATGAGCGTCTGGGTGGCGCCTGTCAAAACTCAATCTTTCTTAATGAAGAATGGAGAGGCGGCGGCGGTGGCGGGGCACAAGGGTCTGGGCGGCGCCTCCGAGGCGGCCGGCGAGGACCTTGGTGAGGGAGGAGCCGTTGTACGGCACGTGCGCCGCGCGCGTGCCCAGCGCGTGGAGCACGTGGTTGAGGTGGAAGAGCGACAGGTTGATTTGGATGCCCTCCTGCCGCACCTTTCCCTCGGTGCCGGCGCGCTTGGGGCGCTCCGAGCCGGCGAGGTCGACAAAGGTGAGCTTGGGCCGGAGCTTGCCGGAGGCGCCCTCGCTCTTCGGGTCCGCCAGACTCAGCTCCACCGAGAGCACCGCGTGTGACCGCGACGAGTGCTCGTTGAGCCGCGTGCTGCTGGTGGCGCGCGCCGCGGCGCCGCTGGCGAGCAGCGCCGTCAAGTCGGCGGCGGACTTGAGCTCGCGGCTTGCGGCGGGGAGGCCCCAGCCCGCGCCGTCCCGCTTGAGGTGCAGCCGGGGCAGCTCGCCGTCCGCCGCCGCCGCCGCCAGCAGGTCGTGCACCGCGTCCTCGTAGATTTGAACAAAGCTCGCGTGCACGGAGGCGCCGGGCGGCAGCCGCTCAAAGATCTGCTTGACCGACATCTGGATGAGGCCGTCCACGCGGGCGCCCGTGCCCGATCCCATCGTGTGCGTCTTCCCCGAGCCGGTCTGCCCGTACGCGAGCACCGTCGCGTTGCAGCCCCGCAGCACGTTCGGGAGCAGCGTCGGCGCGATGCACGCGTCATAGACGGACGAGATGCCACCTTCGGGGCCGCCCACGTGGTCAAAGACGAAGGGAAACGGCGCGCTGTCGAGCACCACCTCGGGCTTCTCCGGCTGCGGCTGGTGCAGGCACTCGGAGCCGCGTGGCTCGTGCGGCAGCAGCGGCCGCACGACGAGCGCGACCTGGACGTGCTCGGAGCGACGCGTTGACACCATCTCGCCATCCGCGTTCGGGCCGCAACTGGGATTCCCCCTGCGCGGGCGGACGGGGGGAGTGGTTGGACCCGGGCGATGGCACCACGGGGACGAGGAAGAGATGCCTCGCCTCCGCGGGGTGGCCGGAGACCCCATTCGCATTGTGGTTGGTCCTGCGAGGCCACGGGAGAAGTGACGGCGTTGGCGGTGGCCGCGGGCAAGGGATGGCGCAGTCATCGGGAGAGGGGCGGCGGCGGCGGCGGCGGCGGCGGCGGCGCCGGCGCCGGCCGCGGCGGCGCGGGGCGCGGGGCACCACACGTCGGCGAGTTTTGGGGCCGTTCAAGCACCTGGAATGGAGGGTAAGCCCGCTGACCGTGGGGGCGGAGCGCTGTTCTTCTTTTTTCCATCCGCTGTTGAGCGTGAAGATGGTTGGTTGGTCTCTGGGAGGAGGTTTTACAACTCAAGTCCTCTGGAGAGCATTTTTCCAAAAGGGTATGGCGAGTTCGCCGTCGAAGGGACAGGGACGTGTCCAAAGATAAACGTCACGATCGCCTCACCGATTCGAGGCGGCGTTGCTGGCTCTGTGCTGGCGATGCACAGGTTGCTCGCTCTACGCTCTCGCTGCCATGAACGGCGATCCCTTCTCGACCGACCCAGTGGTGCAAGAGGACTACAACCTCTTCCCGATGCGCTGCGACGCAGCCTCATGGCCGTGCACTCAACCCGTCGTTCGAAGCACAGCGCCAGCCCGTGGCGACCAGAGATGGACGCTTTTGTGCTATTACGCCATGTTCGCGACAAAATCTCATTACCAAAGGTGGCAGAGCAGTGGCCGTTTCCACCACCTGCAAAAAAGTCGCGTGCAATTCTGCGTCGATGGCAAGATGTGCTCCGAGGCCTCGCCGGTATCGACGAGCTGATGTGCGGAATGTGCGAGGAGCAAGAAATGAGCGAGACGCAGCTGAACAGCACCGAGGTAAGCCTGCAGCCGTGGATCGAGGACGCTCTCGTGAAGCTGCACGCGCGAAATACGTGTCGATGAACTCAAACTACACTCCGTGGACGATCGAGGAGGACCACCTTCTGTTGCTCTCGTACCAGAGCGGCGCGAAGATCACTGAGATTCGCGTGAGTAGCCGATCCGCCGAAGCAATCAAGCTCCAGCTACGCCGATTTCAGAACGTCACGCCACGGGTACGCGACGCGCACCACAAGAGCCGCTGCGACCCGGAGGCGCCGTATCAGTACCTGCAGCACGACATATGCTCGACCCTCGCTCTACCGATGTGCAGCGGCGGTACACTATTGCATCGTCGTCCCAACGCTGAGTCTCCTTCTCCTGCTGGTGGGCTCTGGCCTGTGCCTCGAGGCCTGTGCAGTGGCAGTGACCACAATCCATTATCACCCCGCCTCACTCAGCGGAGCGCGGGAAGGCCAGAACCCAGAAGCCACTTGCACTTCCTTTCGAGTCTTTACTCTTTTCGGACGCGGCTGCGCTGGCCTCGGCAGCTTTTTAGCGGCGGCGAGCTTGTTCTTGGAGAGAGTAACTCAGCCGCTCAATATATACAATAAAAACAGACCTAACCGACAGAACACCTCGTTCATGTTCTCCTCCACGCGCAGAGTGGTAATTTCTCGCAGCTGCGAGACAAGTTTTCTCGGAGCGACAGCCTCAAAGACAAAAGGGTGGATGGGTGGGGGACGATTGCGGGCGAGCGCCAGCGCGCCCCAGGAACGGTGGGGTGCCCTCGACCGCGCGTCCGAGTCACTTGGGCGGATGAGCGAGCGGCACATGGCCCGACAAAGAGAAATCGGAGTCTGGCGACGAGATCGATAAAAGAAGTGCAGCGTTTCCTCTGAGGTGCCTCAGAGGTGCGCCACACCTCTGAAGGTGTCTTTCAGAGGTGTACTTCAGGAGCAGAGCTGACGTCAGTCTGTGCGCGCTCCCTCTCTCCTCGTCGAAACTCCATTTTCTCGCATCTTGGCTCTCTCAGCCCCAGCTTTGAGCGCCGCGGGCCGCGGGCCGGGCGCGGGGCGCGACACTATAGCTTGTGCCGAGACCCACCATGCAAAAGGATCAGCCGAACGCAGCGCGCTAACGCGCTGCTGGCCGCCCATCCGGCTCAGCGGTGCAGCGAGCACCGGCGGTTGGCGCAGCGCGAAGCCGGCGCCGGCTTGCCCCAGCCGCAGTTACGGCACTCGTATGGCATCTCGTCGTCCTCCCAGTCTTCGTCGGTTGTGTCGGAGGACGAGATCCCCTCCTCGGTCTCCTCGGTGTAGTCGGAGGACGAGTAGTCGTCGTCGTCGTCCTCCTCCTCGCCGTCGTCCTCGCTGTCGTCCTCGCCCTCGCCGTCCTCGTCCTCGTCCTCGTCCTCGTCCTCGTCCTCCTCGCCTCCCTCCTCGTCGACCAGCGCCGCACCGTCCTCATCGCCGTCTGCGCCCTCCTCGGCTCTACCTTCATCGTCTTGCGCCTCAGATGGCCCCGCCTGCTGCAGAGAACAAACGTGAGTACACGGTGCGCGGATTGTGGCAACGCGCACGGCGTCGCACCTCGGCCCCGGAAGCCGAGGCAAGCTCCTGGAAGCGCGCGCGCGTCAGCCGCGCCTCCTCTTTTGCCTCCTCATACTGTCGCTTGGTCTTGCGCTCCTTGTCCTCCGCATCGGCCTGCAGCACTGCTGCAGCATACCGTGCGGCAGACTCAGCGTCAGCGGTCCCGGCGGCGGTCGCCGCCGACGCGGCGGCGGTCGCCGACGCCGCGGCGGTGGTCGCCGCCGACGCGGCGGCGGCCGACGCCGCGTCAGCGGCGACCTTCTCTCTGTCGGCGGTGTCCTTCTCCGCCCGGATGCGTTCAATTCTCCTGCTCCAAGTTGAAGACGACGGGTGCCATCGCACGGGCGACTGCGGGGCGCGGCGGAGGGCTTGCACAGGCGCGTGGGCGCGCGGCGCGCGCGCGCGGGCTCGCTAGCGGGGTGCGGTGGGCGAGGTGGTAGCGGAGTCGGGTATCACCGGAATGGAGGGTAGGATTCCTATCTGCCCATAGGGGTGGTTGAGGGGTTGAGGGTTGAGGCCCCCCCTCAACCATCTGGTTGACGGTTGAGACCCCCCGTCAACCCTTTAGTTGGGGGTTGAGGCCTCCAGGGCCTACTCTATTCACAGGCTCGCGCGTGATCACAACACACAAGATAAACTGGAACAGCCCCTGCCGCCAAAAAATCGCTTCGCCTGCGGCGCGCTCTTGCGCTCCTCGTACCTCGAGCGCAATCCATAAGTAGGAGACGCTCACTGTCGCCATTCAGGCGCCTGATCTTTCAGCAAAGCGATGGCCTACCTGGTACGAGTTCAGATGCGCGCCCGGCAGAAGACGCGTGTGATGCCGCATGCAGTGGAATGCGCACAGAGAACGGACGGCAAGAGAAGGCAAGGGAAGGAAGAGAAACGGCTGGTGAAGCTCAGCTCACGGCGTAGTACTGCGTAAGCAACCGCGGTCACTAACCATCCACGGCAAGAGTCACGGGTGAATGCTGCCGCATAAAGCAACAGAGTCGCGCTTGGCGCGATGGTCTTGTCGCGGTTCACGACTTGACGTTGCACACGGTCATAGACGCAGGATCTATTTGGCGAGTCTCAAGCAGCAAAAGTAGGCGCGAGAAATTAATGTCGATCCTGAGATCTCAATTTTGGCGCTAGTTTCGTTTTCTGGTACATCACGACGACTTGCTTGGGTCTCATGTAGCTCGACGGCTCTTGGACGGCTCTTTCTGGTTGCTTGGATCAGACAGTGCTATCAGTCAGCAACGCAATGCCGAGAGCAGGGCGGCCTTCGAGGAGGGTCAACTAAGCTCCTGCTGCATATCGAGCATGGAAGGCGGCCATTGCTGATTGCTCAAACCTGTTCGAGTTGGCCTCCGGGAACAAGGGTGCGTGGCCGGCGCGGTCTGGTTCACGTGCAATGAGGGTAACGCCATCAAAATCGCGATCATGGGCCGACATGCCTCCGACATTTCTCAAGGCCCGGACGGAAGCTCTGGCCTCTGCAGACAGCCAGACCGCTCTGCGCGGTCGGACCGACTTTTTCAGACTTTACTATTCTGGATACTGAGGGTATGTGCTGCTAGATCTCACTGAGCTGAGCTCGTATCTGCCTTTTGCAAAAGAGTTTTGAGTTCGGTAATGTCTCCGGAGACGGAGGGCCGCGTCCGCGGACGGCCATGACTCGGCCGGGACCGCCCCGTGGGGGCCTTCGATGCACGATGGCTGTCAGCGCCATTCCGGGCTTTGCATCACACCTCCCATTCACGCACGGAGGTCGTAGCTGAAGCAAGTACTCGTAAAAACGGCGCGTCAAATGCAGCATCCAGGCGTCTAAAGAAGACGACATGAATCGTCTCACAGATAATGTGTGTTCAGACCTTTGCGCGGGGGGTGTGAACAGCCATTCCGCGTGGTTGAGGGGTTGAAGGGGTCTGTCAACCACTTGGTTGAGGGTTGAGGCCTCTGTCAACCACGTGGTTGACAGGTGAGAAGAGAGAGAGAGTCGTGATTTCTTGTTGGTTAATAAAAATCTCTCTCACAGGTGAGGCAATCGGCCTCAACCACCGCTATGAGTAGATTCCTAAGCCCGCTGACCGTGAGGCGGGAGCGAGGATCTCGGAGGCCCTTCCGACCCCTCTCGAGCCCTCCCGCCACGAAGATCCTCCCTTTGTCCGACCGTCCCTCCGAGCCCACCCGGCGCCCGAGCCCTCTTGCCTATCACCCGAGCTCGGGGGGGGCGGCGAGCCCTCCTGGACCCCACCACCCCTCCCGCCTCGCCCAGCCCTCCTGACCCCTCTCCCCGGTGGACCGCTCCACCCTCCCAGCGCGCTAGCCCTATGGGACCCTGTGGAGCCCTCCCGACGCCGATCCGACGGGGACCCCTCCAGCCCTGTGGGCTGGCGAGCCCTCCGGTCGGAGGGGTGGAAGTGGGAGGGCTCGAGGACGGACCCCTCTCGCTCCGGGAGGGTGGAGGGGTGGAGGGTGGAGGGGTGGAGGGGTGGTTGAGCCCTCTAGCTCTATCGATATAGCCCTACCCCTCCCGCCGTTTTAGGGCTTGCCCACCCGCTATGCTATCAGTTTGTACACCGCAAGAGAGTCAGCTGTTCCCACAGCAGGCTGGAAGTACCCGGGTACCTCGCCAGCCTGAGGGACGCTTGGGAGGAGCGCCATCTTCTCTCGTTTCCCAAAATGGCGACGGCGTCCACGACAGCCGTCGCCCAGCAGGCCGTGGACACGACTCTCGTCTCCTTGATCGACGACCACCTGACGCACACGTTTTCATTCCTCAAGCTCGAAGACCTCATCCACGCGAGCTCGGCGTGCAAGCAGTTTGAGGCGCTGATCAACAACGAGCGACGCCTCTGGTCTCACATCGTCTTCCCCAAGGCCGCCTCCAAGGTGATCACAGACTGCCAGCTGGCGGCCCTACTCACACGCGTGCACGCCAAAGAGTGCACGACGCTGCTCCGCCTCCACTTCAGCGACATCAGCGGCCGCGGCCTTCTCCCTCTGTGCTCGGGTGCGCTCATCACCCTCGATCTGCGCCAGACACACGGGCCTTGCGCGCACTACCCAAATGAGCGCACATACTGGGACGGCGAGGCGCTCGTGACGCTGCTGACGAGCCTCGAGGAAGGCGACACCGCAGGCGGCCACGGCATTCATGTTTTCCTACCCACAGTCATGGAGCCAGACAGCGTGGGCCACCCGTGGGTGCCGCTCGTGTCCGACGAGGCGACGGAACGGCGCATCAGGGGCACAATGCTGTCTCTGAAGGCGATGGGACAGCAGGCGTGCTGCATGTGCGACGGCAGCGACGAGGACTCCGCGTCAGACAGCGGCGCAGCCGTCGAGGAATGCTCGGTCTGCCTCAAGACCCACTGCACAAGCTGCGCCGGCTTCTACTTCTGTACGGCGTGCTCGTTCACCGCCTGCGAGGCGTGCGCTACCGACCTGCCCAAGAAATACTCCTGTGACAACGGAGATCAGTGCCGCGGGATGTGGCGCTGCGATGTCTGCGAAAACATCCCGGGGACTTGCTTCGGCTGCGGAGGCAAGTTTTGTGACAGCTGCGGCCGACAGGACGACGAGACGCCTGAGGCCGAGTTTTACTGCAAGCGCTGCGAGGCCGAGTACTGGGAAAACAACGACTGACATGCGCACGGCTCGCGATCCGAGGTAGTGGACTCGTCGAGAGACGTCTCTCTCGGAGTCTGGCTCCGGCTTCACACCTTCACTTGAGCATCTCTCCATATGCGTCTCCATGGCCGGAACGGAACCGTCAGCGTTTCGCCCGGCTGGTGCGTGGTGGTCTCGCGCGGTTTTATTTTGGATCACAGAACACTTGCGGAGAGCTGTGGTGGAGAGTTGTGGGGGAACGCCTCCTTTCGCAAGATTTTCCTTGCATGCTCAAGGTACAACGCCCCAGGGCCCTGCAGTAGGTGCCCCCTATTTTCATCTTTGTTCGCTTCGCTGCGCGGCCTGGGGATAGGTAGGCGTTGGCAAGACCCCCTATCTGGCAAGGAGCCGGAAACCCGCACGTGGGCGTCCAATGCCAGCGGCAAGCGGTCCGGACGCCGTCGCGAAGGTCCGGCGTAAGGCCGACGCGCCCATCACTGGCAAACACCGCACTGCGGCCACTAAGGGCAAACGCCGCAACGCCGAGTCTTCCACTGACGGCAAGCGCTGCAAGGCTGATGCGGGCTGCCGGGAACTCGCGGCTGGCGCTGCCGCCTCGTCTGCCGCTGCCTCCGCCTCGCCTGCCGCTGCCTCCGCCAGCTTTTCGTCCCTGCCCCTGCTGGCGACACTGCGGCTCGCCCTTTCCGAGTCGTTTCCGTTTGAGCAGCTGACTCCGGTGCAGCAGGCCACCATTCCGGCCGCCCTCGCCGGCCGCGACGTCATCGCGCGCGCGAGGACCGGGTCTGGTAAGACGCTCGCCTTTTTGCTGCCCGCGATCCAGCGGGTCGCGGCGGATCCAGACCAGCCTGGCGTGCGGGCTGTCCTGGTCTCCCCCACGCGCGAGCTAGCCACCCAGACCGGCGCCGTGTGCGAGGCGCTGCTCTCCCACATGCCCCGCGTGTCGTGCCGCTGCGCCGTGGGCGGGACGAGCGTGCACGGCGACGTCGCCGCCTTGCGCGGCTCACTCTGCCCCGGCATACTCGTCGGCACGCCTGGCCGGCTCAACGACCTGCTGTCGGGCGGGCACGGCGCGGCGTCCGCCTTCGGCCGCGTCGCCTGCCTCGTCCTCGACGAGGCGGACCAGCTCCTCGCCCTCGGCTTCCGCCGGCCGGTCGAGGCGGTCGTTGCCTCGCTCCGGAGGGCTGCCCACCCGGCGGCGCCTCCGTGGCAGACACTCCTCTTCTCAGCCACCCTGCGCGGAGACGTGCGCTCGCTCGCCGCCGCCGCGCGTCGCGGGTGCGCGCCGCCGACGGCGGCGGAGGACGACGACTTGCTCGTCGCCGACGCCATCGGAGCGGAAGCGCCGACCAACGCGGCGGTCGAGCAGGCCGTGACGGTCTCCCCGCCGGCGGCCCTCGCGGCGGAGCTGGTGCGGACCCTGCTGGCGCTGCGCTCGGACCCGGCCGCAAAGGTGATTGTCTACGCCGGCGCCGCGCGCCTCGTCTCCTTCCTCGCCGCGCTCTGCCGCCGGATGGGGCTCGGCGGCTCCGCGCCGCTCGAGCTGCACGCGCGGCTGCCTCACGCGGAGCGCGCGTCGGCGGACCGCCTTTCCTCGCGGCGGGAGGGGGGGGGGGGAGAGCAGCGTCTCTTCACACCGGGGTGTGCGCGTGAGCAGGTGGACGCCGCCTTCCGCGCGAGCGAGGGCGGGCGGCTCTTCCTAGAAGCACTTGGAGCGCTTGGAGTGCAGTGAAGCAGACTCCGTCTTCTTGTACCCCAACCCACACTCGAGAGGACACGGACTCAGCTGTATTCGACTGTGTTCAGCCGTGTTCAGTCGTCTTCGCCTCCCTCGTAGTCACACGGTGCTCTGGATTCACTGCACAGCACCGTCTCCCCGCCCTGAGGCTGAGAGGAGAGAGGAGAGAAGGGAGAGGAGGGTGTGCTGATCTCGGCCGAGCTCGCGGTGATGGCGTATTCACCTCGCAGGCTCCTCTTCTCCTCGGACGTGTCTGCGCGAGGGCTCGACTACCTAGAAGCGGGGAACGTGTTCATGTATTCCAACTAGCGCCCGAGAGGACACGTATTCCGCCGCATTCAGCCGTATTCCGCTGTATTCACTGTCTTCCTCCCCGTTGTCTTCACGCGGTGCTCTGAAGACGCTGCACAATGCCGTCTCCCCGCTGCACAATGCCGTCTCCCCGCCCTCATGCCGGCGTATGCACCACCACGCAGGCTTGACTACCACGACGTGACTGCCGTCGTCCAGCTCGGCGCCCCGCCCGACCGAGCGACGTACATCCACCGCGTGGGCCGCACCGGACGCGCCGGCGCTGCGGGAGTCGGCCATCTGCTGCTGGCCGAGAGCGAGGCGTCCTTCCTGACTTGCTTGGGCGGGCTGCCGCTGACGCGAGCCCCGCCGCTGCCGCCCGCCGCCGCCGCGCTCCTCGAGCCGCGGCTGCGCGCGGCGCGCGGCGCGCTCCCCGCGAGCCTCGCCCAGGAGGCGTACGCCTCGCTGCTGGGGGTCTGCTCGGAGCCCGGCTGCTTGCGCCGGCTGCGCTGGAGCAAGGAGGACGCCGTGCGCCACACGAACGCCTTCGCCGCCGGCGTGCTCGGCCTCGCCACGCCGCCGCCGCTCGACGCCGCGGCGCTCCAGCGGATGGGCCTCGCCGGCGTGCGCGGCGTCGCGGCGAAGACAACGTCGCTCTCGTGCTTCTCGGTGGCGGGTAACGCGCCGCGCCACAAGGGGCGCTGCGACCTCGGCTGACGGGCGTCGCTCTGGGACCTGGGGTAAGTTGGCCGTAGCCCCGGCAGGCTGGCCCCACCTAGCGCAATGCGCCGCGACCGATATGTGAGGGGGCGGCGCCCTCGGTACGATGCCGCCGTCGCCACGCAAGATCCTAGTGCGATGTGCAGTGCGATTTGCATTTGGAAATCACGTGTCTTCTTTGCAAAATTCGCCGTGTTTTACTGCGAGTGTCTCCGCTCAAGTGCGTCCGCTCTCCGCTGCGGGACCTGGGGGTCCACATAGACATAGACCACACCACACAGATCACAACCGTCGCCTCATGCGTCACCCCGCGCCCGGCCGCGCTCCGGGGGGCCGCTCCCCCGCGTCGATAGTAAATTGACTCCGCCACGACATATAGGTCGCAGCACCTCCCCCCAAATTTCTATGTGAATCCTCCCGCTCTCGCGCGCTACCCAACCACGGCAACGCGCGGCCACGATAACGCATACCTTGTAAGGTAAGGGTATTGCGTGCGTACCCGTAGCCGTACACAACTCTACTGTATCACATGAAAACCTCTCCGGAGTGTCTCGTCGAGAACATCTCTCTCGAGAGATTCGATCTTACGCCCGCGCGCGCCGCGCTGAGGCAGCGCTCGTGCGCACAAGAAATTTGGAGTCACAGCGACCGTGGCCTCTCAGCAGCGCTCTCTATGTAGAGCGCTCCTGGGCCGCATCCGCCGCCATCCTGGCTGCAACCGCCCTAGCCATCGACGCGACCGCAGCGGCACCCCTCGCCTCTGCAGCAGCACGCCTCGCGTCTGCAGCGGCCCTCGCCTCATCCAGCGCCGCCTCGGCCGCCGCCAGCGCCGCCTCGGCAGCCGCTAGCGCCGCCACGGCCACCACCTCCTCCGCCTTGTCCGCCTCTGCCTCCTCCTCCGCCTCGTCCGCCTCCGCGTCCAAGCGCACCGCCTCGGCCACCGCTGCCGACGCCGCTGCCTGGCTCTCCGCCGTGATGCCGAGCCGGATCCTCTCCTCGTGACACTTCTCGAGAAGCCTCATCATTTTCTCCTCCTCGGCCTTCTTTGCGGCCTCGGCTGCCTCCGACGGCGACTCGGACTCCTGCGACAGCCCAGCCGCGCCCGCTCCGCCGCCCTTCTTCTTCTTCTTGCCCTTCTTGCCCTTGGCGCGTTTCTCCGCCTCGACCTCCGCCAGCAGCTCGTCGGCGTGCCGCGCCGCCTCCTTCTCCTCCGCCGCCCTCTGCGCCGCCCTCTCCGCCGCCCCCGCAGCCCACGCCGCCTCATTCGCCGCCTTCTCGGCCGCCGCATGCTCCTCGAGGGCGCGCACGCACTCGGCGTGGCCCTGTTGCTTGGCGTACTGCAGCGCGGTTGTACCCTTCTCAGAGCGCAGCGTCATGTCTGCGCCCCCCCGCAGCAGCTGACGCACGACGGTGGGGTAGCCGAGCAAGGCGCCAAACATCAGCGCAGTGCCGCCGTTGGGGCCTTTCTGATCGACCTCCGCGCCGTGCCGCAATGCCAGCTCGACCAGCTTCTCGCGGCCGTTGGTGGCGGCGAGGCTCAGCGCGGAGCCACCATCGCTCTTCTGCAACGAGATATCTGCACCGCGCCGCAGAAGCGCCTCGGCCAGCTCCGCGTAGCCATAGACCATCGCAACCATCAGCAGCGTCATGCCGCTCGCACACGAGCCGTCACCAAAGGTGTACTCGAACGTCGCGTCGACCCGCCCGCCGTCGTCGAGCCACGCCAGCACCGGCGTCTCGTCGCCTCGCTCAGCCGCTAGCACGACCTCCTTTGGCACTGCCTCGCTGCCCGGCGTGGCCCCCGCGCCCTCGCCGCTGGAAGCAGAGGCCGCAGCACTGGCGCCCGCCGCCGCCTCGCCTGCGGGTGCGCCGCCCGCCCCTGCGCCGCCCGCCTCGGCCGACAGCGCCTTGATCCGAGCTGCCGTCACCTCCCCGAGATACGTCCTGAAGGCCTCGTAGCACTCGGTGTGGCCCTTCTCCTTGGCAATCTGCAGCGCCGTCCTGCCGCCGCTAGAGCGCAGCGTCATGTCAGCGCCCGCCCGCAGCACGCGAAGCACCACGGCGGGATGGTTGTGGATAGCGGCCCCCATCAGCGCGGTGCCGCCGAGACTGCTCTGCAGGTTGATCGCCGCACCGTGCCGGATCAGAGTGTCGACAATCCGCTCGTAGCCTTGGTAGGCGGCCTCCATCAGCGCAGTGACGCCAAGCTTGTTTTGCAGATTGACCTCCGCGCCGTGCCGCAATGCTAGCTCGACCATCTCCTCGCGGCCGTTCACGGCGGCGAGACCCAGCGCATAGTAGCTGCCGGCGCTGGCCAGCAATGAGACATCCGCACCGCGCCGCAGAAGCGCCTCGGCCAGCCCCGCGTGGCCATTGGACATTGCGACCATCAGCAGCGTCATGCCGCTCGCACACGAGCCGCCATCAAAGGTGTACTCGAACGTCTCGTCGACCCGCCCGCCGTCGTCGAGCCACGCCAGCACCGCTCCCGATTGGCCATCCTTGGCGGCCTTCCGAATGCTTGCAGGGACGTCGCCGCCGCCGCGCGTCGACGGAGGAGGCTGCGCGGACATACACGTGCACTAGCTGGGTTCCGGCTCCTACCCGGAGGGGTAGTCTCGGAGCGACTGACTCGCGCCAAAACGCCCTACCTACCGGAACCCTGAGTGGCTCGCTAAACGCTCGCCGAGCCAGGTTATGCAACGAACACACATCTGCGCACACGTGCAAGGGTGTCTAGCCTTAATAAAGTGGCGCTCACACTCTCTCCGCCTCTTGTGGATCGAACTGGACAGTGCTCAGTGGACTCGCGAGCTCGCATGTCCGCGCGTGTCGTTCCCGACGGATTCGCGCGGTGGGTGGCGTCGATAGCCAAAGAGCTTATCGCGCAGCCGATCGAAGAGCCTGTTCTGATCGGCTCGCGAGCCCTGGAGCTCGCAGCCATCGCCATGGTCGCGAAACCATCGCGCTGGGCGGCGCGGCGGGTGGGGCGGCAGCGGGGCACCAGGAGATGGTGCCGTGGGCAGCGCTGCGGGGAAGGGAGGAAGGGGCGGAGAGAGGGAGGAGGGGGGGGCGGCTCGCCTGCCGCCCTCGAGCCGCGACAGCCGGTGCCGTGGCCGGCCCGCCTTCGAACGTGAAGGGGGGACGGCCTCATGCCGCCTCACCGCGCGACGCGGCGGCCGGCCGCCACCTCAAAGGAGGCCTCTCGCGCTCGAAATACGTGCGAGGCACCTGCCGAAGGGGGTGGGGTGGTCGGGCGGTCTAGGGGAAGGCGTCTCCGGTGGGTGGGCGCCGCTCCTACAGCGCGCGGGGCGGGGAGGCCGACTGCGGCGGTGATACGGTCGCGCGCGCGGGGCGTGGAGGGCCAGGGAGGTGGAATCCGGGCCGGCGGAACCTTCCGATTTTTGACGTGATTAACTAGCCCGAGGCTGGCCGGAGAGGATTGAGACCTGCGATTCTTGTTTTTCCGCTGCTCGAGCCGGCCAGCCGTGCCTACGGCGAGAAAAGGAGCGTCCGACCCGGTCCGATCTCGCGCTCCAGCGGGAACGCCGAGCGCCTCGGACGCCAAGCGGAAACGGCGTTCGGAGGCGGGGCGCGGTGGCGATCACCGGTCGGCGCCTTCGCGGCCGGCCGGCCCGGTGGGTCGCCACGGCACATGCGCCGCGCGCCGTCGCCAGGCCCCGCCGCCGCCCCGCCAGAGCAGCGGCGAGATGGGAGGCGGTCGGCGGGTGACATCGGCTCTTCGAGCGAGCTTTCAGCTCACTTTGACGACGCTAGGAAAATCAATTCGTGGAATCCAGTTCGAGATGCAGTGAGGCGGAGCCTACCCTGCCCCGCCCTTGTGAGGCAGGAAAGTGACGACTACCCCGTACGCCCGGTTGCATCATACCCCATCGCCGACCGCCCATTCCCCCCTCCTCGTCCCCCCCCTGTTTTTTTTGGATTTTCTTTTTCTGGTTGGGAAAAACTGGCCGGACCGGATTTTGGGGCGGATGACGAGAGCACGAGACGCGTCGCCTCGCTTTGGGGTGGCTGATGAGGGGCGCCGTCCCGATTTGGTCCACACTCTGTCACTTACCCCTTGCAAGAAAACGAGAACACCTGATCAAAGACTCAACGACAAACGCGTGAAAGCTGGCAAGCGTGCGTTGGCCGTTGGCGTTGCCCATTTTACACCCCGCAGGGCAAGCATCAAGCAAGCGAGCAGCCGCCTTTTTGGGGCAGCATCCAAGCCAGCGCGGCGGCAGAGCCAACAACAGTCGTGGCGGCCCTCCGCTTAACGCCAGTGGGAACGACCATCTTTTGATTTGTACGTACCCCCTCCTCTCCCCCTACTGAGCCCCCTTTGTAACTCTATTTGGGCCGCGTCGTGGAATTGACATGCGCTTCGAGTATGCAACGAGAAGATCGCGCACATACTGCTTGACGGCGCGTTTCGAAAGATGCTGCTTGACAAATTGTCGTGCGTTCGCTGCTATGTTTTTGGCGATAAGCGGCGACTGGCGCAAGCACTCGGCGGTAGGGAAAACATATCGGGAAAGAGAGCCAAGTGCATTCTCGGCAGGGACAAAATCGTGGTGTGGGCGAAGCAGTGGGTAGAAGAACTCGTACCAGTCCGTGTTTGTGACCACAGGAACTGAGCCACAGGCGAAGAGGTTCTTGAATCGGTTGGAGTAGGAAGGCCAGGTACCACCCCCCGGAGAAAGCAGGTACTGGTAGTGACATGCGTCGCTGCGGCCTTGCCGCTCTGGCCACGTGGGGAGATCGCATTTTTCAACTCCCCCTCTGAATCCGATGGCTTCGGTAAGAAGCCCGGTCATCATGGAGCCATTGGCGGTCGCAGCGCCTAAGCACCAGGCGGAGTTTCGATATGTATTTCTGGTGCCCACGAAATGCATTTTGGGTATCCGCTGCGAGAAGTCCTTCTCAGCACTCAGCAAGAAGTGCTCATTGCGTTCGATAAGGTCCCAGAATTCTGGGAAAGTGTGGTCTGGCAGCAACAGGATGCGCGAGTCCTCCGATCTGCGAGAAGCCATGAAGATTGGCGCGCGGCGAAGCTCCGACCCAGATTGCACAGGAGCCCACTCTTGTTCCGGAGCTAAATCTGAGAACAAAATGATGAGGTCAGCATCGGGCAGCGGCGAGTCCCGGTGCACTTCCCGAAGAATCTCAAGCACCTGCGCTCTTCTTCCGATGTCA